CCCCCCTCTCCCTCCTTCTCCCCTTTGATAAGAATTTTTTATCGACACGAACGCAACAGGAATTATCTTTAACGCACTTGTAAATAGAAGTTTGCAGTTTGCAGTTTACTTTAACCAATAATGATTCGAAGAGTGCGAGTACACGCACGATGCAACGATGATGACAAATCATCGACGCGATAAATCGTTTTATCTATTCGACGATTAGAACTTTGAGCAGGCAGAATTTTTTTCCTTTTTTTTCTTTCTCGCAACAAAGAAACGAAGAGTCACGTTTTAAATAAAACGTACGTGACCGATTCGAATACGTATGCAATTTACCGAAGAATCAAACCGATTTATCGCAATCTATATCTGTCAGACTCGTTCTATCCAACTCTGAACAATAAACTCTTCCCGACGAAAAGCGATGTCGATATCTCTCCTCTCGCGAACATTCTCCGTGTGTCAAACGAGGAAAAGTAAAAGAAGAAGAAGAAGAAGAGGAAATGATCGCAAAAAGGAATATTTAAATAAACGCCTTACCTTTTGCACGACGAGCGGTGTGCCGAAATCCTTCCCTCCCTGAAGACGAAAACCCCAGGGGGATCCGTCGAATCTGGATAGTTTGACGTTGATCAACTGGGCCATATCACTGATATCTTTTACAGACAGCCGGATAAAAAATAAAAAGAAAACTGAATCCTCGAATGAAACGAAAAAACGGATAAGTTATCGATCGGTTTTATACATATATATATACGATTCCCTCTATTTTCCTTTCCTTTTCTTTTCTTTCCTTTTATTTCTTTCTTCTTTCTTTTCTTAGCTACTCGTTTCGAAGATCGAAGAGACAGGATATATGCACGTTGCACCGGCCACGGTTGACGTCTGCCTTGGCGAGGCGGAATCGCGCGGTTGGGAGAACGGCACGTACGTTCCTGAAGAACGCGCAGACCGGAGTAAAGGTACAACAGACTGTGAGGACGGTCAGTCGGGCAGCGGGGCCTGCCTGGCTGCCTTCCTTCCATCCGATTCGGCTCTGCCGCGGTTCTGGCCAGGGGCGGGGATAGGGATAGAGACCCAACACGCGGGTAGGAACGAGACCGCGATCCAGAATTATCCGGGGAGGGGGTGAATGGAAAGTTCGAGGAAGAGACACGTTTCCACGGGAAAAGGAAGGAAGCATCGAGATTTATCTGTTTCGACTGTGTATCGCGGCCATTAGGTACAAGGGGCAACGATGATGCGGGAGTGGAAGGCCAGTGGAATCGATGGATTCTTTTTTTCCTTTTTCTTTTTTTCTCTCTCTCTCTCTCTCTCTCTCTTTAATCGCGTACCGTGAAAAGTTTTCTTTTTCTCTCTCTCTCTCTCTCTTTTTTTTCTTTTCGAACGAAACGAAGCGTGCAAGGAAACCGCGAAATTGCAGAACCGGAAACGGGAAACGATATGGGAAGTATGGCGATGGAACGAACGATGGAATGCGCGATGGTCTCTCGCGTTGAAGGAAGAGGAAGGAATCACAAAGGAGAGGTCGATAAAGATAAGGGAATATATATATATATATATATGTATGCACGAGGCAGGATGGAAATATTGAAGAAAAAGGAAGAAAGAAAGAAAGAGGGGCACGGAAGGAAATAAGGGAGAGGGGAAGGCGAGAAGAGGATAAAGGAGGATACGTGATCGTGGTATCAGGATGGCATTCCCGACGTTTCATTCCTTCTTTTTTCCACCACTTGCTACCTTTCTTTCTCCCGCACTGCCGATTCCTTCCTTCGCTCCACCTTCTGTCATTGCTCCCGGTGCTGCGACCATGAAGAGAAGCACCTTGCTCGCCGCACCGTCTACACCCATGCACTTCTTCTCTCCGCGATTGTAATTTATCCCCGATCGCTACCTCGAATCGAACCATCGATCGATTAACCGCTCTCCGTCTCCGATATCGCCGACTTTTTTTAAACGACTTGAAAATTGTTGTCAACAAACCACTCGACGGATTTCATCCATTGTTATAAGATTACGATATTTCCCCTTTCCACTTATCACGAAAATTTGATTTAACTAATTCGCTCAACGTCAATACGATCACCGATGTACTTTTCACTCTCTTCGAAAATCGATCGCCGATAAAAATGAAATCATAAAATGCGACGCAATTGGCGCAAGGTTGCGCGTAAGGTGGCGAGGGATCATCAGGGATATCAGTAATCGCCAGGAAGGAATGGCCAGCGCTGAAACGTGAAATGGATTCGACCGGATGAGCCTAGATTTTCGTTCCGTCGAGAGCGGCTGCATTTTCTGCGCCGGTGGCGGTCACGAGGGCGCGAACTAGTTCGTGAATCATGCCTAGAATGCTTTACATAAATTGCTCAGGACCGACGTCACGTTCTCGGTCCCTAAGCATGAGACGACTACCGAGGAGTAGGAAAGAGAAAGAGGGAGGAGAAAGAACGCTCGTCGGCCACGGCAGAAGTGACTCAGACTCTGGGCGTACGCATGCGGGACGTGGCTCGGGGGAACAGAGTCCCAGGAAACTCCGGAAAGGTGAAAGTATGCGACTCATCCGCTCGCCCTCGTCCTCGGTTATATCGAAAGGGATCTTGCGCAAAGCATGCGTCGACGACGAAGTCGAAACGATCGACGAAACGATCGATGAAATCCCTCGATGCCTTTAACCTCGATTCCGATAAGTGTCGTCGTTTTCGTCGTCCTACCACTCGATTTGTCGAGAGAAAGAAAAAAAATCGTGTCAGGCAGTAATTTTTCTAATTTCGACGCGAGTAGAGTAGGATGGATGAATTGTTGAGTTTTACGAAAAAGAAAAAAAAAATCAATCCTTTTATTTAACGCTTAATTCGTATAACGTTTCTTGACATTGCTTTCTCGTGTTCGAAGACACACGTATAGACACGACACGCACACGTACTTGTGATTCTAGTTGATTAGTTTTGTGGTTTTATACATTCTGGCATAGCGCACGTATTCGCATTGTTTGTTTGTTTGTTTCTTTCTTCTTTTTTTTTCAATTTTTCTCATTTATCGTCGATTCTTATTCTTTGTCATCCCGTAAAAAAGAATTCTATCCTTTCCTCGCAATGTTCAGTGACTGACGCTCCGAGTACTTCTGTCGTCCGCGATACTGAACGCTGGAGATTTCTGAAATGAAAGAAATGAAGGAACGGTTTCGAAACGCTTCGAGTTTTCGTAAGAACTTAAAAAAAAAAAAAAAGGAAAAGAAAATTCTTCGGATCCTGTACATATCGAATATACTCACGACCCTCTCGATTATATCCTCCGCGGCGTTCACTTTGGCAGGCCTAGCTGGAATTCCTCTCTTCGGCTCTTTCTCCATTTTATGAATCATTTTATAGACGCTCGAGTTCATTAAGTGATCAAAGTTCGGTAGATTCGTCTTTTCGTATTTCTTAAAGTTTACTCTGCGTTAGTAAAGAAAAAGAGAAAGAAAGAAGATTGAATAAATTCGGATAAGAATTAATTTCAAATATAAATAACACGATGAATATCGTACATCGTTATAAATTCATCGAACGATGAAAAAGAGAATAATAATAATAATAATAATTCTATCTCACCCCAAGGCTCTGCCTCGAATCACTTCCGCCTGGGAAGATAAAACCTCGGCAATCATTTCGTCATTGAAGAAATCATTCGGACACCTCCATCTGCGGCCAAGCGTAAGTTCGACTTGCTTAGCCTGGGGCCAGAGATCTTGCGAACGTTTCCTCCCTCGTTGCTTCACTCTCTCCTGAAAAGAGTAGTAGAGGGAAACGGGTCACTCCTACTATTTGGATTGAACGTTTTCGTTTACGAACCCAGAAAATACGTTTCGTCATTTACGAAGGAATGTATGCTTATATATATATATGTATAATTGTCGCTCAGGCATTTTAAGGAACGCACGTGACACGAATATAACTTCATCTTCGTGAAGTTTTCTTTTTTAGGGGAAGGGGGGGGGGTAGAACGGGGGTGTACAACAAATTATGGTGTTTTTCGAAGTGCAAGTTTTACCAAAATTCTTGGTATTTTTAAAAAGAATTATTTTTAAAAAGAACATTTAAAAAGAAAGAAGGGTAATAATTTCGGTGATTACGATAGAATTCTCAAAAATACATCGATGCGATTAAGATAATGCGTACGAGGACTCTCTAGGATGCTAGAAGACACAGAACGGGAACAACAAAAATTACTTCACATTCAATTTACATTCCGTTACATTCTCTTCTCAGAATACCTGCAACTCCTGAATAACTTGATCTTTTGCCGATAGATTTGGATCTGGTTCGAAACTGCCTACAATACACATATCGCTTCGTTTCTGTTATCTTTCCTTAACTTTTATCGCTTTTTTTTTTTTTTTTTTTTTTTTTTTTTTTTTCTTTCTTAATCATCGACTCGTATCAAAGAAGAAAAAAAAAAAAAAAATCCAACCAACGATTGATATTTACCGTGAGACGGTGCCGGACTAGGCGATTTCAGAACCTTGGTCTCGTACGAGACGACGAATTTCTTCACCCTGCTTCCCTCCTCGCTCTTCACCGATAGCGTCCCTTCCAGCTCCTGCGTCTCGGTCTCTTCCTCCCCCTCATCCTCGCTAGGCTGGACGATCCTCAGATGCTCGTCCGAATAGGCAGAGTACGAGATATCCTCCGTGTACTCCGTCACGTCCTGTTCCTCCGTTTCCTCCGCCTCCTCCGCGCGTTCTTCCTCCGACTCTTTCCCCTCCTCCGAGTCTTTCGCCCGCTCTTCCGGCTCTGGAAACGACGAACGAGCGCGATCATCTACGCGAAACGGAAACGGAAACGGCGGAAATTGGAAAAGAATTTGGAAAGAGAAACCAGCCGATCGAACGAGAGAGATGTTTCGCAATGGGAACGACGTGCACGCATAGATACGCACTCGGTTGACACAACACTCGGTTGGCAACGCTTCAACATCAGCGTCATCCGTCCGTGTTGGAACGCGTAAAATTTGAAAATATGCCGGGGACGACGAGTGATATCGATTCAGACCTGTTCGAAAATAATATAATCGTTTCACCTCCTCCTCCTCCTCGCCGCTCCTCCTCCCCCTCCTCCTCCCCCTTGCCAGCGTTAACGGCGGCGCCGTTTTGGACACCGCTCAACTCCATGATCTTCTGCAGTTGCTCGGACACGATTCTCAGGTGATTCTCGATCTCGCTCGGAAGTTGTTTCAACGACAACAACTGGCGTTGAACGTTCTCCAGTTGCTTCTCCAGATTGATCTCCGTCGTGACCAACTCCTTGATCCTCTCCTTATCGACCTTCGCGGCGACGTCCGCCATCTCCTTCTCGATCTCGTTCAAAACGTTCTCGTGCTCCCTCGTCCTCTCCTCCTCCCGCCCCTTGGCCCCTTCCTCGCGAACCTCCTCCTCCTCAACCTTCTCCCCGGCGCCGTCGCCCGTCTCCCCCACCGCTTGCCCGCGCTCGGCCTCGCCCTCCTCCTCCGAACGCTTCGATTCGGCCTTCGATTCTGGTCGCGATTCAGGTTCCCGATCCGATCTGTAGCCCGGCTCAGGAGTGGCCGATGGTGTCGCCTGAATTCAGACAACAGCCTGTTATTGTGTTGCGTCGGGGTTGATTGAATGCTTGGTGGAATGGTGCAAGTACGTTATTATTATTATTATTATTATTATTATTATTATTATTATTATTATTATTATTATGTCGTGCAGTTTTATATAAGTCCGGGGATCGAGATGCATACGTCTTCATCGATCGGTGAAAAGGGCACGAAACGCGTGCCACTTCTATTTTACCCGTTTTATCGGTTAAGTAAGTTAACTTTTATTTATTACTATTTCAACGAATCATCTAGACTCGTAAAGGGATATTTTTTTTTTTTTTTGTTTCTTTTCGGGTGAAATCCAACGAGCGAAACGCGAGCGTCCCAATTGCTACGTTTCGACGGGGTTATCGAGAATATTTTAGAATTCGGGTGCAACCAAGATATGCGCATTTTTTTTATTTCTGAACAAATGTAATTATTTCCTCTCGACAATCCATCGTGTGGGTACATTGACAATGAGGTAATTATATACGTACTACGTTGATGTTGATGTTGACATGCATCGATCTGTCTGTCTGCGTGCGTGATAACGATTTTTTTTTTCAATCGTATTTATATATATATGTATGTACTCTACATTAGACTAGATACCAATCGACGTGCGATCGTTTCTTTTTTTTTTTTTTTTATTTAAGTATACTACGTGTACTACGTTATAGTAGATAGTAAGTATACTTGCAGGACCGTGCAATTTTTTATAATATATATATATATATTGAAACGAATCATCGAGAAAAAAGATGATAAAATGTGTTAAAGATTTGATTAATAAATTTTTTAGTCGATGGACAAGAAAAAAGAAACGATGGTTCGTTTTGTTCTTTTGGCAGTTTTGCACGGTCCTTAATAGACAAGTACAATTGCTGCTCTAGCCTCTAGTCATGAGAAACGGGTTACGGTTACATTGGACAGAAGATACAACACACACTTTTAACGAGCGACGAACACTTTTTCGTTTCTTTTTTTTTTTTTTTCTCGTATACGTTTACAGATGATCCACGTGATGATCTAGCGTCTGTTAGGGATGTCCTAGAACAAGTGACGTCGTTTTAAATCTAAACATAATCGTAATCATTAATGATACCGGTGTCTCGATGTGTGAATTATTAATAGACTAGATGTTTCGTATATATCGTATATGATATTACTTGTACATATAGAGCAATATGATGGAGGTACAAGGTACGAACGCGTACGCCACTAATCTCGTGAAATCCACCCCTATGCAATTCGTCAAGCTTTCGTAGAGGATGGTTGGGACGAAGGATAGCCTACGTCCGTCACGATCCTTGTCCTCAACGATTTCCTTCTTGTCGTTCGCGATCCTTTCCCTCCCTTCCCCCAAACGTTTGTCAGGAAACGATCGATCGATTCGAAGGGACGTCGTTCGAAAACCGTGCAAGAGATCGAGAGAAGAGACGCGATTCGAGGATCTCGATCTCGATCTCGACGATCGTCTGCTTCCACGATGAAAAATCTCGGCCGAGATATAATCTTTGGACGAACGGACGAGATTGGAAAGGACACCGCCTTCCCTCACGGACGAAGGAGACGTGTCGTTGGTTTGGCGCGAGTTCAAGGATGAGAAGACTGGAATAACAGCGGAAGAATCGGCGGATACGCGTTGGAGAAGTTGGCACGATCGAACGTGGTTCGCGATCGAACCGAGGAACTTGAACTGCTTTTTCACGATACGTTCGACGTAACGAGCTCGAGAGATAAGTTTGTTTCTCGAGGTTGGACGAGTGGAGCAACGATCGAACAACGCGTTTTCCGCCCCAAAATACCAAACCCCCGAGTAACCTTTCGTTTCTTCGATCGAGTTTCTTCCTCGAATCTCTCCGCTACGAAGATTCCGCTTCAGGGACAACGCCGTGTCGCGGATACGATTCAACCAAGGAACAACATCGCGCCGAAACATACGTTCAACGTAACGACCCTTGAAGTACGAAATACGCTCACCGAGGCGCGATCTTTCGTCGAAATATCGTCGATCGGAGGACGAATAGGGGCGAGCAACCACGAATTTTGTACAACGAACGAGAATCTCCTTCTCCCGATCAGTTTTCCTCGACGAGATTTCTTCCCTCGACAATGCGTTATCGCGAGATTTAATAACGAAGCAGCCCCTCGCTTCAGACCTCCTCCTCGCGAACATCCATCCGTCGACCATTCGCCTCGTCCAATTATCCTCTCGCTTCGAGTACGTCTCGAGGTAACGACCTTTGATCCTCCTCGATTTCGAACATTTCTCCACGCTACAGCGACTCGTTGCGACTCGTTGAATCCTGTCCGTGCTCCGTACCTCGATACCTCGTCCACCCCCCGACCAACTTTCACCCCCCTTTACTCCAACGTTACTCCACTTGGCGAACGACAAACATCTTGGAAAGTTAGAAACACTCGTGCGAGAACCTCTCTTCCAATCTTTCCGCCTCTTCCCCTCGCCACGCGTCAAAGCTACCTTCTCATGGTAGCCTCTCGTCGGCCAACGTGCGACTCCGCCCGTTTCCATATCGTTCGCACGAGTCTCACCCTCGAACAGGGAAGAATGATCGTGGCGGTTCTCGAGGATCGAGGAAGCCTCCTCCTCCTCCTCCTCCTCCTCCTTCTCCTCGACTTTTTTTCCGACCCCCTCCGTCTTATTTTCCGTCTTTACCTCGGGAGTGAAGGGCTCCGGGGTGCTCGCGCCCTCCGGTTTCAGCAAGCCCCTCTCTAGCAGCCGGTCGGTCACGCTTCTCCTTTTCTGCTTCTTTATCACAACTTTGTACGACTCCGCCTCTTGCTCCCCCTCCTCCTGCTTCTTGCGGGGTGTCGGTATCGGCCGCTGCGGTTTCTGAAGGAACACCGAGGTACGTCTCAACTGTTCGACCAACGGTGGCTCGGCTGTGGCTATGTTCTGAAGCTCTTCTATAACCTTCGATTGCTTCAGAACCGTGACCCGTGGCCTCAGTTTCTTAAAGTTCACCCTGGAATGCAGAGAAATCTTTTTCCTTCCCTTTTTTTTTAAAAATTTCTTATTATTGTTGTTGTCGAGGTTTCTTTCAGCAAGAATTCGAAGGGATGAATTTTATACCCCAAAACGCCTTTATCGTCCAAAAGTTCCTCTTCCTCGAGGATCAATTGCGCGATCTCGTCGTCCGTGAGATTTTGATTCGGCACGATCTCGCTGTTCGCGTCTTTCGGCTTGTCCGGAAGGGGCTCCACCTCTTGCTTCGATCCCTCTTCCTCCTCGCACGTCTTTATCTCATACTCGTGACGTTCGATCACCGTCTCCTCCTTCAAGATTTGCTCCGGGAAAACTGGTGGCAAATCTGCGAGCTGATAACGAACAAATTTTCCACCGATCGAACGACCACAAAAATCGTGAATAATACATGCATACATACATACATACATACATATATATATTATATATATATATAATGAAATTCACACATGCAATATTTTAACGTGAGATACGTACAGGGATCTTATAAGGGACGATGTTCTCCTCGGACAGCGCCTCCGCAGCCTTGACAAAATCTTCTTGTCTGTGTCAACAGAGAAGTAGTTGGTTGGTTAATTTCGAATTGGAATTTTTTTTTTTTTTTTCCTTTTCTTTTCTTTCCTTTCGATCGATCGATCGAACGATCGAACGATCTGTCACGCGTATATATGCACTCGAGTTCGTAGCACGAGCGAGCAGTAGCGAGCTAGCCCAAGTGAACGGAATTGGAACGGAGGTTGGAATGAAGTTAACTACTTTTCGAAGCTTACTTGCAAGCCGGTTCACACGCGAAAGGGTAATGAGAGGGATTGTGGAACAAATGTGTGCGATGTAAAATGCCAGCAATAAAATCGCCGACCAATGATAAACAGATCTGATTCTGGGTCACCTATTTATAAGTGTTGCAATATGTTACCACACGTTCGCCGTACTACGCCGGGATATTCTTGCCTCTCTCTCGTCTCGTGTTATAATATTTATCGTATATAAGAAGACGTTTTTTCCATCATGTTTGCAAGCGATTCTTCCAATTTTTTTTTTTTTTAATCTCAAGTCGAGTATATTGCACGTCGTTTCATCCGATTGATTATTGCTATTGAAATGGGAAATATAATGTAATATCGCAGGTGTGGTGTCGAAGAAAATCGTCGGTCGATAGAGTCGGGTTTGTCAAGGGTACTCGAAATAAAATTCGTCGCGGTAAAAAAAGTAGTTCAAGTTAAGCTCGACCTCGAAGCGGGTCAATTCGGTGCAACGATGCAGCGGCGCGCAGTGTCGTTGACATTGATATCGAATTGTTTTCAATGGCTGGGTTGCGGATCTACTTCCGATAAGATAAGGATGTATTCACGAGTAAAGCGAGTATTTATTTTTAAAGGTGATGTTGGATTTTTATATTATTAATCGATTAATGATTCAGGTAGCGCACCAAGCTTACCTCAGCACACCAAGAACAAAATTATTTCCCGCTCGCATTAATTCCTCGTGCGCCTGTCCGTGGGTTAAAGAACTAATGGGTTGATCGTTTAATCTTACCACCACGTCGCCGACTTTTAAACCCATACATTCCGCCAAACTTCCCTCTGTGACCTAAGAAATGTTTTTTCACGTTTCAATTTTCATTTTTACTCGATCAAACTTACGTATTGTAATTAAAACTATGGACGACGAGATAGGCGAGGGAGGGGATGGAGGGGAAGGAAATAGGTTTATACGGTTTAACGGGACTTTGATCATGTTTCTTGAAATTATGGGAAAATTTCATAATCGACGAATAAATCAAGAATGTTTGGAAAAATAACTTTTTTATTTTTTATACATACTACCATAAATATTCGCACGTATATTGTATTGGATCGTATTCATAAATCTTTTGATCTCGGGAGTAAGAGATAATTAAGTCAATCGGTTATATCGAATATTGGAACGGATCTCTTATAAATTTTATACAGCAAATATAAATAAAGAGAGCAAATAGTAGAAGAAGGTACAAAGATAAATTAAAAATGAGAATCAGCGCTCTCTCGATGATATCGTGGATGAAACAAATGTAGACAAAGAAAGCGAATAATAGGAAAGAGATAGAGAGAGCGTAAAAATATTGAAATCAGCGTCATCTTCAGAGTGCCGCAAATGAAACTCATAAAGAAAGGATAGCAAATAGAGAAAAAAGGATAGAGATATGGTAAGAATTGACTAACAACGCCATCTCTTGAATATTAAAAATACTTCTTCAAAAGCACGTTCAAAGATAAGTTAGAGTTAAAATTAAGATTCAGCGCCATCTCTTGAGTATTTTTGAAAACATGTCCTTTTCACAATTTAAAAGATGGCGTTAGTTCTCAATTCTTACTCTATTTTATCCTGCCATTTAGAGATATCTTTAATAATTGAAAGATGGTGTTGATAATTAATTCTTACAGTATCTCTATCTTTCTTTCACTATTTCCTATCCTTTTTTTATATGTTTCATTTATGACACTCTAAAGATTGATTTCAATATTTTTACTTTATTTCTGTCCTTCTCTCATTATTACTCTCCTTGTTTATACATTGTTCTTGGTACGTACGATCACATACGAGGTATAGGATATCAATTAAATATTTTCATCATTTCTCTTTCAAAATTACAACGTGTTTCAATCTTTAATGTAAAAAAATATTATATTCTCAACTTTATTACTTACAATATATCTATAACACGATAAACTTTCAAAATATATCGCACGCTTGCTAGACAAGTGATGTAATTCAAAATTTAATACTTATTGAATTATTGCTACGGAAAAAATTATAATTATTTATATTTTTTATTAACAGAATCCTGTAAATAACAGTTTCAAACTTGATGAATATGCAACTTAGTATTTTAATAATATGATATCCTTATATATTTTATATTCTTATAAGTCAAATCATTCAAAGTCGTTTCCTCTAAAATTATAATTTTTAAATTGTACGATTTTTCTAGCAAATATGCAATATGTTATGAAGCGTACTAGTGAAATTTAATCAAATAATTATTTATAATTTAATATTTAATTTCAATTCCAATCTATTTTATATTTTTATGTATGATCGTATCTATTCTATATAATTCGTTTATATTTAAGTAGATCATTGCCATTTTAATAAATCGGTAATACAGAAATTGCTATGATTAATCATATCGACATATTAGAAAATACTAGCCTGCAGATATGCAATCCTTTATACTTTTCGCGCTAAATGGTTACTATGTAATCTCATAATTTCACATATGCATGTATACTCTATATAAGTTTCTTAATAATTTGTAAATAATAATCTGAACTGCATTTTTAAATAATCTGTGTCTGTACATTATTATAGTATTATTATAGTAATATATTTAAATAATAAAAAACATGAAATAATAATAATGTAATGTACATACTCTGATGACAGTCAATGGTTGTGGAAAATCGCTTCCACCCGCCAATCGAAATCCCCATGGTGTGTTATCGAATTTTGTGAATTTTATGCTGATAGCCATACTGTTCTACATCTGAAATTCACGTGTCTGTAGTCATTTTGGACTGGAACAGCTTGTAACGTTTAAAGTGATACTTCCTTCATTAACTTCGATGAAATTAATTCCGAAAGTGATTTCTAATGAAACAATTATATAATAAAATAAAACAAATAAAAATATATAATAAAACAAGAAAAAAAATGAAAATTTTATTTGAATTTGAATTTTGTGGAATTATTTCACGATTAAATGTAAATCTATATTTGCATTCGAGTTTTAAAAAATCTTGATAAAAAAATTCAATCATCAATTTTCTTCAATCATTATTTGTGAATTAAAAAAAAAAAAAAATTACTTAAATTTATCAGTTTTAATATATTTCTTTTTAAAATTATTAATCAAAGAAAAGAATCATTTATATGAATACGACAAAATATAACACATAAGTTTTTCTAAATTTTACTCTCGTTACATAATGCTGATTTTAAAAAGACACAAAACAAAAGATATTCGATATTCTTAACATTTATAATATTTTTTATATATTTTATATTGATTTTTGGACATTCATAGTAATTCAAATTAAATGTTTGCTTTTTAACGATTAAAAAAATAAGTAAAACTAAAAACTTCGGAACGCAATAACAACCGAAAGGAATTCGTACCATGTACGCGGAAGTGATCGCATAGCGAAACGAATATAGTCTAGTCGATGCGAGAATTTACTCAATGATTCGTGAGTTACTTGCCAGTATGTTGCGCGAAGAATAATCACAGAATTGTTATATCACGATGCACAGGAAATTGCACACCGAGAAAAATTATATCACTGAATTCATGGATCAGAAGCGCGCGGTCATCAACCGAACCGGTCGATACCGTGGTAGCACCGATCGACGAACTCCACTAAGTCTTCAACACGCACAAAACGGTGTCACGATAATGTTTGCCAGAAGGCAATCGTAGCTACCGACTTGAACGCCACAAATACACGGCCTCTTCTCCCCTCATCCTCTCGTCCCCTGCTCCCCTCATTATCCAATCGTAAAACAGTAGGAAGAATGCTAGATCTATTTACTGATCGATTTATTTAGATTCAGGTCCTCGATTTCCTCGTCATCACATATGAAGTATTTCGCTCTCATCGTTACTCTTTCGTAAAGTAACAATATCTACATTTTTCCTCTACGACAAAGAATAACTTTTTTTATCGTAATTTCGCGCTAAAATCACATAAATTGATTTAAAAATCGTATACGCTTCTGCCATCTAGGGACACACTAATATTTAAATTCAATTCTTTGAATCGAAAAGCGCGCGAAACTTTATGCGAAAGAAAAAAAGAAAAATTAAAGAAAAATTTATAAATATTATAATATATGTTCTGTGATATGTGATATAATTTGTGTTTATGTTTAAAATATGTTATATGCAAATACAACAATACACATAATTTACAGTGAATACGTGTATTAAATATGTATTAAATTTTGATTTATTTTAAATAATTTACTTTGTACATTATCAAAATCTGATAAAAATATGAATATATACAAAATATTTTTAGAATGTAAATTTTATTCTCATTGACGTAGTCTTACTTGATCGTTCGAAGTCTATCTTTTGACTGAAAGTCGAAATGTGGAAGTAAGGCATAGATACGTCCCTACCACTATATGTTTATATATATCTGATATAGTATATATATGTCTTAGAGTCAATTCGCGCACTTAAGCAATTTCTATTTTACATTAGTCATATTGTTTTACATAAGAATAATATCCATTAAATTTGATGTGTATGCATTTTTATAATTTTGCAGCGATGATACTGTGCAGTTCGTTATTTTTTGTTTGATATTTTCAATAACAGTATTACAAATAAATTTGAATCGTTTATCATTAAAACATTATCACAACATTATATATTAAGTATATATATTTTAAAAATGGATTATATGGAAATATAATTTAATTTGCTTATTAAATTATTTGATTTTATAGTTATAATTTATTTTATTTATTAATACAATACAATAATATTCCTGTAATATATCTACAAGAATAAGTTGCAACTTTGCCGATAATAGAGAACATTGTATGTATATTATGTATATATATTACATAATAAAGAATAATACATAATTTAATTAATATAATAAAATATTAAAATATTAAAATAATAAATTATTGTATAATAATGATAATGATAAATTTTTTGCAATTAAATTAAATAAAATATTTTTATTTACATAGTATTACATTTTTTCAAATTGCGATCAATTATAAATATTAATCAAAACCTCATGAATATGAGGTTTTTATTATATTTATACTTTTTTTTAAACGAAAAATTTTTGTAAAAAAAGATTATTGATGAATAATATAAAAATTTTTACAAAATATTTATATTTTTTTAAGTTTTTTGCTTCTTTGCACTTGATGCTCCATCCTGCTCATCCGTTTGGAATATCGTTTGTGGTTGTGTTTTTTTATATGCTGGCGCAATCCAATATGGATTTTCTTCTGCTACTTTTGCATATTTTAATATAGCTTCTCGTGGATCTTGATCGTCTTCTATTCTTTTGCTAAGTCCCAAATTCCGAATTACATAAGAACTAAGTGTTCCACCAGAAGAAGCAACTCTTCCACCTTGTCCAGAAGTAATTGGTAAATCCGGTCTTCTCGATTTAACGGGATCTAAACGATCTTTTTCCATTTGTTTACGAACTGATTTAGGTCTGTCTTGTCTGAATAATGGAAGTGCATGTGGTGTAATAATTTGTTGAGTTGACATTACTTCGATATGTTTTTGTTTTAAATGCGTTTTTATAATACATAATTTTGCACCTCTTAAACTTTTCTTAGAATCGTAATATACCTTAACTATTCCATTTCCACAACCAACAAATATTTGATTTAGTTTTGGATGCCATAATGTTTTAATAACATGTGAATTTGTTACATTTATTCCATTAATTAGATCAAAAGTTTTTGTATCATAAAATAAAATTCTACCAGTATTTTGATTTTTACTTAAAGATTCTCCTGTAATAAGAATTGAATCATCTGGATTAAACATACAATCGGTTGTGTCATATCTAGAATATAAATTTTTTGCTTCAAAAATAGGTGTTTTAAATGCTCTTAAATCCCAAAGCTTTAATGTATCATCACAACTTCTGGTTGCAAGCATTTGTCCAAGATAAGAAAAGCTTAGGCTTGATATCTCAGCACCTTGTGCATGTGCATTTCTCTGAATCAGTGATGGATTAACAAAATTTTTTCTATGATCCCACATTTGTATAGAACCATCTATACAACCACAAGCAACTACATTACCTTCTCTACTATAACCACATGTGGTTGGTATGGTTTTAACACCATTTTGTGCTCTACATTTTATTAGATGTTTATGTGCACGCGGTCTATATAAAATCCATATTCTACAAGTACTATCTTGTGAACAAGTAAGATATTCCTCCTTTGTGAATGGATGCCAACAACCACTGTTTAATCCTGCTGTATGACCTTTTGTACGTGCCATATCTGTTATATATTGATCACCCTTCACAGTTTCACATTTTTCAAAACCATCTCTATCTAAAACTTTTGCTTGTGCAGAACCTGATATAACTAATATAACATCACCAGTCATTGAATATTGTAAACATTTGATTGGATGGTTCTCACAAGGTTGCAATGTTCTAAAACTTCTCATTGATGAATCCATACCAGCAAAGTCCCAAAAACAAACATCATAATCAATAGAACCTGAAGCTAATCTTGCTCCAGAAGGATCTGCTGCAATAGCTGTTACTGCCTTCGTTCCATGAGTCATTGTAACTTCATGACTGCATGGAATTTTATCTTTTAATTGTAATTCTTCTTCTACATCAGATTGTTCTTCATCTTCATCACTTTCATTGTCATTTTGATCTTTTATTTTCGTAGATTGCTCTAAATTAATTGAATTCTGAAGTTCTGGAGGTATTGGAGGTCCAATAAAATCATCATCTTCCTCATTATCATTAGTACTTTCATTATTAATAATATTAATATCTTTAGATATTTCTTTTACAAGTGTAGTTTTAGATTCTTTTTCAATAGATTTTATATTTATATTACTTACTTTGCTATTATTAATAGTTTTTGTAATATTTTCCAACATTTCTTCTACATCAAAAGATTTAGCCTTCTTACCAAAACCTGTTATGCCCATAACTTGTTTCAAATTTTGAGATTCTTCTTCATCTTCAGGTTTAATTTCATTCATTTTTGTAATATTAGTCTCCAATGATTTTTTGCCAAATGTACCAAATCCAGAACTTACAGTTTCTGTATTTTTCGTCATATCTCGAGTTAAATCTTTATTAATTTTACCAAAAGTTATTCCCTTTTTTGTATTCATGATTATTATAACTTGTTATTAAATAAATTGTAATAATATTTATAAAACATATACAAATAAAATTAAAATTTTTTATTTATTTATTCTTAATATAATATAACTTTGATATTTTTTTAAGATTTAATTTCTTATAATAGCTTATAAAAAATTAAATAAATATATATATTGAGGTTATAATATTTCATTTTCTTTTTTTTTCTATTATTCATATATAACGGATTAATTACATATTTTTGCATTAAAAAAAGTAAATCTATTTTATTAATAAATAATTTTTTTTTTAATATAAATGGAAATTCACAATATTATTTATCGCTTTATCTGGTAAATATTGCGTACTATAGCAAAATTGTCAGATACCGAGACAAAATGGCTATCAGAGCCATTAGAAACATTTAGTAAGTTAAAATTTCTATTTTAACTTATTGTGTATTGACGTTTGTATTGACAGATGTCATTGATGTGAATAATTAGTAAATTTATCATAAAAACCTAATTTACATCTATCTAATAATTGTTGTAATTGATGTACCTAAATAATAATGAATCAAAACATAATATATAATATTATATCAATGTAAGTTAGTTAAATATACTTTGATTAAATTTTAAATTATAATTATATTATAATTTAAGTTTTAAACGTTTTAAAAAGTTATAAATATCAATTATTTGATGTATTTGATATTTATAAATTTATATAGAATAAATATATTAAATAATATATTAAATATAACGTTTACATAGTTTATAATTAATAAGTTATGATTTTTAAAATATATTTTTTGTAATATTTATAATTCTTGTACTTATAAAATCTTATCCATTAATAATTATGATAAACAAAAATATTATTTTCATTTAAAAAAATTTAAATATTTATGAGAATCGAAATAAAAAAATTAATGAATTTCAAAAATTCGATTATAAATTAATGTAGCATTTAATTTAATAACATAATTTAGGAAATAACATAGGAATTAACAGAAGAAGTAAATGAAAATATTTTTAATATATAATTGACTACAATATCTATAAAAAATGATAGATACAAAAAATAATGCAAATGGAACATATGATTGTAATCAAGATTCAAGGATTAGAACTAACAGTTCCGATACAATGCCATCAACACCTTCTTCATCATCTGATTATATGACAGGAGAAGCAGATGATAGTTCAGATAGCAAAGCTGTTATACCTTTTAGTTTAAAATCAGTAGAAACAGTGCTTTCATTATCTAAGGTATAAAATAAATTTAAAAATTTTTATAATAATTTTTTATTCTTTATGATTATGATTATATTATATTTTACAGGCTACTTCTGAAGAATATCTTAAAGATATGATAGAAAAATGTAAACAAATGGTATTAGAAAGTGCAGAATGTTCAGATGAACGAAAATGGCTTGTTAGACGTTTAATTGAATTACGTTTAAGAGTACAAGAATTTAGAGAATCATCAGAAGCAAATTTGCTTGAAACACAAGTAATTTTAGGACATCACTTAATACCACAAAAATATTACATAACAACTTCTGGACCTGTATATTGTGATCATTGCAGTGGAGCTATTTGGACTATGCTTCAATCATGGTATATGTGCAATGGTAAGATTTTCTTTAAAATTATAAATTATTTTTATATGGATTTTTATTATATTTAATTTTATTTTCATAGATTGCAAATTTTGTTGCCATTGGAAATGTTTAAATAACATATGTAGAGTATGTGTTCATGTAGTTGCTAGTGAAGCAGGTGGTTATACTTATACAAAAGATATTTGTCCTGAACAGGGTTTATCAAATCAAGGATATAGATGTGCTGAATGCAAAGCACGAATTACATTTAGTAAGTATATTTATTAATAAATATTGATTAATGCAGATAAGATTAAAATTAAAAATTAAAATAATTCTTTGAAGAAGTATA